CGATAAATTCGTCGAGAAAATGGTAATATTTTATGAGAAATAGTCTGTATTTCTCATTTTTTAAATTCTTTTGCGTAAAACTAAAATTCATGCCAATATTTTTCCATGATTTATAATAATTGGAGTAATGCAAATAAATTTTTTCTAAAGAAAGTCAGTTTTTAGTGAAATCTTGCCGGGAATGGGGCTTTAACGTACATAATAAAGTATACCGTATAACGAAACGCTGGTAAAAGCAGACATCCGTCAGTCTCTGTGGCGCAATCGGTTAGCGCGTTCGGCTGTTAACCGAAAGGTTGGTGGTTCAAGCCCACCCAGGGACGTTCTTTTATTTTCTTTTTACATTTAAGATAATTTTACTGTCCGGAAAGACATTGCATTTGAATATATATAGTCAAAAATCGTGTTAATAATATGCAACAAAAACATTAATAATATTAATCTACACATATTACAGTATGAAATTGCATGAATTTAACCCCATTCATTTCATTTTCATTTCATTTATTTATTCAGACAAGTGTCTTGGGGCCCCAAAAGCAACAAAATCACCATGACGAAAGTCTGGATCCCCAGAAAACTAAACTTAACTACATTATTAGCGAGTATATAAAAAGAAAGGTTTAAAATGTAAAAAGTGAAAGGCCAAGACAATTAAAATAATAATAAAAAAACACACAGATTTCGCACACAATTGTAATGTTATATAATAAAAATATGTTTAGATAATTTATAGTTATAACTAAAGCCCATTGAATAATTAAAAACAACAAAAAACATTAATAATTAATAATATACACATACTACCTTACTGAATTGCATGAAGTTAACCCATTAAATATCATCTGAATTGAACATACAGATTAGGATAAAAAAGCATATTACAGGCCTACACCTATATGTATATATAGGCCTATATCGTCTAGGCCTATAAGTTTTAAATATTAATTGGTTTTCTTCGAAACTAAATTTCTTTTAAAATAATTGCCTTAATGTATGAACAGAGTGTGGTATGAAGTTGATCTTCATTGTCATATTGTTGATTGTATTTTTACTAGGATTGAGCAGTTTTAGTCCGTATTAGATTTCAGACTTAACAGTTAACCTACTGTACATAATAAAGTATACGAGTATGGCACAATGAGTCTCTGTGGCGCAATCGGTTAGCGCGTTCGGCTGTTAACCGAAAGGTTGGTGGTTCAAGCCCACCCAGGGACGCTAAATTTTTTTTACAAGATAATTTTACTGTCCAGCAGGAAGTTGCATTTGAAATTTACATCGCATGGAAATAATAAAAAGTCAAATATAGGCCTATATATTAACAAAGAAATGTGTTAGATAATTTATATAAGCCCTATAGTTACAATTTAAGTCTGTGGAATAGTACATAGGCCTATGAAACATGAACATTAAGATTTTTTATATCCTTCACATCCAACAGCAAGTACACTCGCCACTTACAGGGTGAGAATGATGCTTTATAAACCAAGTTTCTTTATGAGGCTTAGGGAGTGGAGTTGGTTTTAATCGTGAGAAAAATTCCTGCTGTGACAGGGATTGAACCAAGGACCCTGGGATCAGAAGGCAAGCATCTTTAACCAATGAGCTATTCAACCCCACTCCAAATATTATTAGCAAACACATATTACATTATTAGATTGCATGAATTTAACCCCATTCAATATTCTGAATAAAATATACAGATTAGGACCAAAAAAGCATTATACATATTTAAAAAAAACTGTATTAGGCCTATTGGTAGGCCTATATAAGTTATAAATATTAAGTTGGTTCTCTTTTAAACTTTTATTCATAATTTTCATAAGGTATAAACAGGGAATGGTATTGTGTGGTGTTAATCTAATTTCATTGTCACATTGTTGATTGTATGTTTAGTAGGATGGATTGAGCATTTTTTGTCTATTAAATTTCATGCTTAAACAGTTAACGTACATAAAAAAAGTATAACGTATAACCAAAGACTGGTAAAAGCTGATATTCATCGTCAGCAGTCTCTGTGGCGCAATCGGTTAGCGCGTTCGGCTGTTAACCGAAAGGTTGGTGGTTCAAGCCCACCCAGGGACGAACCTTTATTTTTTTTACAGTTTAAGGTAATTTTACTGTCCGGAAAGACATTGCATTTAAAATTCACATCGCATGAAAATAGTAAAAAGTAAAATATATATAGTATAAAAACGTGTTAGACAATTTATATTATTACAGTAGGCCTATAACGGAAGTCCGTGGAATAATTAATATGCAACAAAAACATTAATATTATTAATATACACATATTAGGCCTACATTTTTAAATTGCATGAATTTAACCCCATTAAATATTCTGAATTGAATAATAGAGATTAATACCAAAAAGGCATTACACATTTATTACAATATCATTATTGGAATAATACCTTATATAAAACAAAAAAATAATAATATTATTATTATACACATATTACATTATTGAATTAAACATTCTGAATTGAATATAAAGATTAGGACCAAAAAGGAATTATTGTAAACCATTACAAATATGTATATAATAGACCTATAAGTTACAAATATTAGGGGGGTTTTTTTTGTGTTTTTTTTTTTAACTTTTATTCATAATTTTCTTATGTATGAACAGGGAGTGGTAAAGGTGATCTAATTTAATTATCACAACATCATTGATTGTATTTGGATTGGAAGCATTTTTGTCTGCGTTAGATATCAGGCTTGAGAGTTAACGTGCATAATAAACCAAATATATACGGTACAGTATACCGCATAATGGAAACGCTGGTGAAAACCGTTATCCGTCAGTCTCTGTGGCGCAATCGGTTAGCGCGTTCGGCTGTTAACCGAAAGGTTGGTGGTTCAAGCCCACCCAGGGACGTTTTTTTTTTTTTACACCTAAACATTTGTATTTCAGCAATGTTCACAATTTTGCTTTAATTTTCAATTATTTTATATATATTTTTTTACAGATATTGTTTTGAGGACGATATCTAAGGATATACATCGTGGTTTTGCTATTCCATTGGCAATGCATCTATTTGGACTGACAGAAACCGAGGTTTTGAACTTGAACTTGCTTCCACATCACCGTGACTACAATGAGCAGCGGTATCTTGTACTTCAGAAGTGGAGAACTCAAGAAGGGCAGAAAGCATCATTTGAGAAGTTAATTGCCGCCTTCAAAGCGGTAAAAATGACAGCGCCCGCACACTCCCTGAATAGAAATCTGCTAACCGACCACCGTAAATATTTTACTAGTGCTATTTATTGATGATTTACTTAATTTTACGCAGTACAATATAATAGAACACACATACAACCGCATAAGTAGGCCTATACTTTCTAAAGTCTTCAGGACTAGGCCTACTTACTAAACTTTATCAGCTCAGGCTTAATTACTAACGGTAGGCCACTTTCTTGCCTGAATGACTCATTTAGATAAAAAATATTAAAATTGGCCCATGACTTTGTTGGCTGCTGCGTTGCCGGGGTGGGTTGGCGTAGATTTTGTCACCCCATCCGCAGCACCGCTGGCCTGTCCGGACAGCCTGAGTCAAATCATATTTGAACTACCATTTCCGGTATTGTCATTCTACAAATGATAGCATTTGTTTTGTCTTCTCCAAAAAATGTTTAATAATTCACTTCGATTACATCATTATTCTATATTCAGGGCTTAAAACAATTGCAAACGCTCTACCACCGGATCTAAAGGGGCTATGTGACCACTTCAAAATAAGCATGGACGAAGTTCAAGAAAAGTATGTTCACGAACTCAACGGGCACACTTACCAGGTACTAAGCCGATGGAAAGAGAGAACCCACGAGAAGCTGTCGGCTAGGGCATGTCATTCAGCACTTTTAGCCCATCTACGAAACATCGGGCTAAGCCATGTGGCTCAGAAATGTAGCGAAATCACCTCTGCACATGCACGCGATGGTACGATCTATTTAATTCATTCTGTCAATCAGTATTGTGAATTAGGCTTTCACTTAATCGTCGTCGTTATCAACTTTATCATCAAAAACAGCGTTGTCTTAATCACCACCATTAATCATCATCATTATCATCATCGTGATCACCATCATCGTCGTCGTCATCGCCATTTGACGAAGACATCATCAAGTTTATCTTTCTCATCAAGATTACCAACACTATCTTCGTCATAATCATTATCATTTCCATCTCCGTTATCGTTATTGACATCACCGTCATCATTATTTACATCTATATCATTATCATTCACCGGCATCATCACAATTTAGAACGGGGAACATTATTGCATGTGGTATTTTTGCAATAGGTCTTTAAATTAAAGAACCTTTTCTTTCTCTTCCAGTCGTTATATTGCGTATTATAACTAAAGATGCCAGTCGTGAAAGGATATTTAGCTTGGTTAAGAGTTTAGGAGTTTGTCAAGAAGACGTCGATGCAATAACACGTGATTTCGGGTTCGACTTTAACAAGAGGATGTTCCTGCTCAACTGTCTCGTAAAATGGCGGGGAAAGGTGAATCCTCCGGAAGACGCGACGTTCGAAAACCTCTTACTGATCATGCGCTCTAAAGAAATTGGACTCAAATTGAACGCGCATATACTTGACGAGGAACTATTATCACATAAAAGTAGGTTTACATTATGAATACATAGACGAAGCTTCTTTATACAGGCCTATCTCTATGCAAAGGAAAGGCCTGTAGTTATGTCTGTTTGCTTTGTTTTTAATCTCTTTTAGGTGATTAGTTTCCGTAATCTCTTCCACCAACACGGTTATTATGTTTTACAGTTCATTACTGATCATTTCAGCTTTTTTCACTTAATTTTCCCCGTTAATCATATTTTTTAGCCCGGTATGAAATGTTATTATTTATCGCACTTTTAGGGCTTAAAAACCTTGCTGAAATCATCGATCCCGAGTACATCCAGCCTTTAGCAGACGAACTGGAAGTCGACACAGCACAAATGCATATTCCGTTTGATGGCAACTTTCAGGAAATTTTACGGTTTCGTCTGCTTCAACGCTGGAAGGAAACACGCGGAAAATATGCCACTCACACGGAACTTATAAACGCACTTGGAATTGTAGGTTTATCGTCTGTTATACCGAAGGTCGATTCTTTTGGCTCAATTGACACAACGCATGGTAATTTTAAATTTCCGCTTTACTTATTTTCATTATGAAATGTGTCATTGCTTTTTATCAATGTGTTTGAAATTTGCAATGACGTATTCTTTTTATGATCGTTGGAAAATGAAAATGTTTAGTGTATATCACTTACCATTTAAATTCTTTTCATGTTCCATTCCTCCGTTGTTTCCCACTTGGATTATAGGCTTCAACTTTTTTTCTATAGAATAATAGCGAAAAAAAAATGAAACGAGAGTTATGGAAATACCGTATATTGAGAGTCTTTAGGCCTCACTTTCCGTTTCAATATTAGTTTATGAATGTTTTCGTTGTTTCTCCGGGACAGTGTTTTTTTTTCTAAATGATTTACTTTGATTAGGCATATATATATATATATATTATTCAGCGTCTATGACATAAATTTTATCAGTGACTTAGAGGGCTTTAAATAATACGATTTTTGCTTTTATATTTGATTCATAATATTAGGCCTATATCTAAGCCGTATTTCATTTTCCGATTAATAGGGGCAATTAGTGATTTCTGTCTACGATACGTCAGCAGCTGGGTGCACGTCAGTCGTGCTCACGAGTGGCCATCAGTCGTCCAGAATATTCCCTCCTCATTGGTCGAAGGTTTGGACAGTAAAACGGTTGATCAGATCAAGCTTCACATGAGAGACCCCCAAGAGCAAATGGCCTACGCCCTCATACTGTGCCGAGATCGTGGTATTTTGCCAACCGTCGAGAAGTTTGTTGATCGACTCACTACGTGCGGGTTCGACAATGCCGCCGTAACTTTGCTAGATATAGCTAGGCCCGTGCTCTATTACTCTGGAGTGCAACCCTATAATTTGACCTATAAGTGACTGACATAGCTTTCTCTCTTTTCAAATGTATTTTGCAATCTCAAATACTGTATTTGATTGTCCTATTTACGGACATCCAATGCAATACGCACTTTGCTGTGTGATGGTTATATAAATGTTTATATGTATATTACGTTTACTGTATTACGTTTTATGTTTATATTAACATTTGAAGGGCATATACCACGTCCTGTCAGTACCAAAGCAAATATAAGCACGTGCTTTAAAGGATTACAGTATATTTGCAATGTCATTCATTAGATATGTATGTTACAGGCTTACATGTTGAGAGTTACTTGTTCGAGCCACGGAAGTAGGGAAACCTATTGGGGAATGGTAGAGTAATACAAGAGAAGGCTGGAACTTTCATACCGTACTACAGCCAGAATATTTTGGAATAATTAATTTTCCCTCACATGTGGACACTTCATAGTATCTGCGCACCCTGCTACATAGCTGCAGTCAGGTTTCCATAAAATTGCTACACTGTCACTACAGCGTTTTCACTGCAATAATTAGGCCGGACACTCTCTGCGCCCGACGGTCGTCGACCGACGCAATTCTATGGAGAACGTATCGTTACGACGCTCGCGCACGGTTAGTTTTTAATAATGTTCCGACAGTCACCGGCAATAAGTAGACGGACGGCGTCGTGGCGTCTAGGCTAGCGTTACAGGGAGCGGATTTTGATTCGTCGCCCGGCGGTTGTGCAACAGTCGTATGACGCAGTGCATAGCTGTCCCTGACGGAATAAGGAAGGCCATCGACCGACCAATCACTTTTCTTTAAAAACGCTACACTGTCACTTCATTGTTTTCAGTGCAATCGTTGTACTGCAGTCCCCGACGAAATCGGGAAGGCTCATCAATCAGCGTCACCGAAGGTTGTCGGCGAGCGCGTGTAGCGATTGTATGGAAACCGATTTAAAGCTCTGTAAATTAACACATTTTCTTTTACAAAAAACTGTTGTATGCCTATATTTAGTAATGATGTGCACATATATAGTCACGATGTGATGTCATCATTACCATATTTAGGCATGTCACATGTTTTTGTCAAATAAAATTTGATAGTCTGGACACACGACAGGACAGATCTTTTAACCTATACGTATAGTACTTCATGCACCTACAATATCTCTGGCAAGAAATGTCACACAAAACCACATTTTATTGATAAAAAGCTAACGTACCCTACCAATTATGATAACGAAATATGCTTACTTTTATACGTCCCAGTAAAATTAATGATCGATTAAACTTTTACTTTCAGACCCAAATACATTTAAACAAATACAATAACTCTCTGCATTAAATATTGAAATAGTGCCAAAGATTGAAATTGAAATTGCATTACGTTATGCCCCAAAATAACTCTGTTACAACCTGACCTTGTTCTCTCGGCTCGTTTCTCACAGCATTAAACAATAACGTGATTAAAATATTGTCAATGTTAAGTCTGTTATGCAATACAAGAATTCCCCACATATTTTAGTTAATGCAACCGAATCTTCAATTAAAATGTTATTCAGGGCGTTTTGTCGGTGGTTGGTGACTGAAACTCCAACCCACGGAATTAATGATACGGGGGAGGACATTAGGGTTCATAACTGCTACGTATGCTTGCAAGCCCACATATCTTGCTTAGCCGATGTTGTGTATGTAGGCCTATATTATTATTAAATAAATACGTATAGTAGATTTTAGTTATAATGACTACAGTATGCCTTTGTTTTCCCAATGTGTTTTACGAATAAAAAATTAAAGTGGTTATGTATGAGTCTGCTCTCGGTCGTTAAAGCGGAATTCCACAATCATGCAACGCATGATACAGGGCATACAAAATAATAGAAGGCGAGAGGCTCGTCCAACGTCACATCTACCTTGCATCCAATCACATAACATACTGGATGTTTCAATTTTAACCATGGAGAGAATGATAATGGCTAAGAAATAAGTGATGACGTCATCTCCTGCGAATGCCTCTGTAAGGTATCGCAGTAGACCTTGACTCTATGGTTTTGTTGTGACTCCTTACAAGAGTGTGCGGTTTGAACTAAAAAAGTACCATAATGTAGATACAAAAACAACAAAAAAGCGTACTACGTTACAAATTAGCATACTACATTACAAATCAAGCATGGTAAAACTTAAAATAGATAATATACTGTTTCCTTAATAACATATTATTTTTAAAGGTACTTATTTTTAACTGGCTTTAAGATTTCAAAAATAACTTTATTAAATAACTTAGGTTCCACAATCTGTCCTTATAGGATATCCAGTCAGGTTATTAATGCTGCCTGCTTCTGTTTTACTCTGCTTTATTCTAAATATTGATATCGTGCTTAATTATACAAAATTCAATAGATACTTAGACCTAGGATTGTTTTGTTGATAAATATAGGCCTATTGTTTTTTAACTGATAATCTATCTCAGTCGTTTCCATCTATCTCAGGTAGTTTACTATACATTTCGACCGATATACAGTATCTTCCGATACATTTTAAACAGCGCACTGCCCCACCAATTCAAACTTCGGCATTTGGCCTAGTTCGTGTTTGTCTGATGCTTAAACAAATTCCATGTTACACAATAAGATCACCATATCATCAATGCTTACGATAGTTTCTTTTAAGAACGGGATTAAAATAGGACTAGTCCATAAAAAAATACAAGGCAGCTTTAATTGTAACGTTGCATTCAGATGACATCATAGGCCGAAGTTAAGAAGACAAACGATTGTTGACCCAAGCAAAAACTACTCAACATTCAATTTTAACGCTTCCTGATCATTATTTTACGCATATTTTATGAATATTTGTATAGTGGTGATTCGTCCAAATCTGTTTTCCAGCAATTTTTACGATCAATCAATACGACTTTATTTCCAATTCCTGCAACAAATATTACAATTTCACACGTTGTTTCCGTGTCTGTGATGACTAATATCCAATCGCTCGACTCAAGCCCTTCACTAAGCCCAACATTGCTTTGTGATATTTTCATTGGTTCACGCCAAATTTCGGCAACACCAGGCTCAAAACTTCCTATTAAAAATCGCATGGAAGTTTGTTATATTTAAATATTTCTGTTTAATTCAAATCCATTCCGTATACGTCCGAATTCCCTAAATGTTCACGTCAGCATATACGGTTTGTTCTTCATGTGCAGGTGGCGTTTGCGATGACGATTTATAATCTCGAAAATCTATATCTGCATAAGTTAGTCCCTCGTCGTTTGCCATGACAGCGGAGGGGGCTGATGGTGGATTGTTACATTGTTTGACTTCCAATGGTTCTAGAGAAACGTTGGTATACGTTTCTGAATCATAACTCAGATGTTGTTTAACAGGGTTGGTTTGGGGTGTATTGGTAGGGTCTTGGGTTCCGGAGTGCCCAGGAGAAACGTTGGCGTATGTCTCGGAATCGTCTACATAGCTTGTCTGTTGTTTGACGGCCGACGGAGCAATCGCGTACGGATATTCATTATTTACGGAATCGTCTTTTTCTCCTTTTTGAGCTGTTGAATTAGCTCGTTTACTTATCTTTTGCGGCTTTATGCTTCCTTTAGTCGATCGGTTCCTTTCTATGCCTACATCCTTCAATTTACGGTCTTCTCGTAGGGATTTCTGGCGTTGGCTATCCACGTGTTTCATCAATACAGACTCCAGGTGGGCCTCAACGGCAGGCCTACCCTTTACAACCTCAGCCTTCTTTTTTTGATACACGCATACGAATAGAATTGAGAACGCTACTAATAACATCAACACACTCAGCACAATCGCTACCGATGCACCGGCGGAAACACCTGTCGACACGTCCTCTAGCACTGTCATTTTATCACTGACTACAATCACATGAGACGCGTTTCCTCTACCTATAGCATTCACAACTTTACACGATATCGTTGTGCCGTTGTCTGAAGTCTCGATACTCTTGATTTTAAGAATATTGCCACGAATACTCAACCGATTAGGGGAGAGAGATTCTGGTACAGCCCACTCGTATTCAGATATCTGTATTTCCGGGTTAGCTGATGCATTACAAAGTATCGTTATTGCGCTCCCAATAACAATTTCATTCATTATGAACAATTTAGTATTCTTTGGAGCGTATTGTATATCCAATGGTCCTATTTTACAAACTTGGGTTGACGGTAGTAGCGCATGGTTTAGGTGACAATAAAATTGACGATTCATATCAGCTGAAGTTAAGACGCGTTGATATGTTGATGTTACACCACTCGACTGTGCATCCACAAATATACTTGGTAGATCATTCTCCCCATCGGTCCATTTAAGATCAACTATCGGCTGGCTTTTCCCACATGAACATACTGCATTTAGAACGTTTCCCTCCTGGTACAGAAATTGATTTGTGGAGCATTTTGGATACCCGTCGAGTGGGGGAAAGTTTACAGTTAGTTTGGCAACGGTAGACATCGCCGTCGTTCTGGGTACAATACAGTAATACATACCGGCGTCTATTGGATCCGCGTCTGCTATTATAAAGTTAAAGTCTCCACTTCCTGGACTAGCATCGACGGAGTATCTGGAGTTCTGTGGTTTATAGATAGGTGTTTCGCTGTTCACACTAACAATAATGCCGTCTTTTACCCAGGCTACTTGTTGAAATCTTTCTCGACGACTGAGTGAACAAAAGAGCACCGCGGTGTGGCCGGTATCAACCGTTGTGTCGACGGGGTGTCTGCTGACTTGAACTTGTGAAATAGCGATTTTAAAACAAAATGGAAATAAAAATCTCAGACTTAGTTGTAGTTTCGTGTACATTTCTGTTCGTCGTAAGAATAGGATATGATGCACGATGAGCTCTGAGCTTCAGTAGCAAGGCAAAGCATACCGACTTGATCTCTTGAACACCGATAACATCTATTGTAATTCCGTTTGATGGTCTCTTAGCAAACAATGAGTTACAAATCTGACTTAAGCATGTATTGTCACATTGGTTTCATAAGATTCAAGCGAGAACGAAGAGTTTTGCAAATAGATCTAGTACTTAATCTTCCTGGTAAAATTTGAGAAAGTTTTTTAGTTGGTCATACTGTGGTTTAGGCTACTTGATGGATGGAAATCGGAGATTAATACGCTTCTATTTCATTTAAATCCGACGATGTTATAGGCCCAAACCTACATGTGCGTCATACATGTGTGTCAAATAAACATATACTGTTGCAGGATCGGTTGTTGTTAGGCCTACATGACTTGGTCTTTTTACGTTGAGAAATTTTGAATATTTTGGGTTTTCTTTTAACCATTTTACTTTTGTTTTTATTGTTTGGTTTTTCTTGTTGTGAACGAGGATCATCGTACTTGTAGAGGCGTCTATTGGATCCGCGCCTGATATCACAAAGTTAAAGTCTCCCGGCACGGATACTTGCACGTCTATTACGGTACTGTATTATTCGAATAAACGCCGTATATTTTGAGGAGGGTTTTTGAGGGGGAGTGTATTCGAGGGATGCA